AGAATTCCATCAAGAAAAAATAGTCTATGATATAATATGTTTCTTGCAATTAGTCTCTTAATTCTATGATTTTAAGCCAATAAAATCAACATCATGACAAAAACCATTTTTAAACTTGTCCTATAGCTTTTCTATATCTACATGTAAAGATTGAATAAGAACAACAACAAACACTACTTTTAATTATTTTCTTATTTTTATTAGGAAGCCTTCTTCTAAGCATTGATTCCGCCCTTTGTCTTCCTCTAACACTCCTATTTCTAAGCATGCATTCTGAAAATTTTGTTGGAATACTCCATTTATAATTTGTATAACTTTTAATGAGAGTGATCTATGTAATAGGATTAGTAAAATATAACCTTTTAATTGCAAATCCATGTTGTATTACTCTCTACTTCTTTGAGGTCTTATATTACAAAAAATACTATAGAAACTCTTACTATTTAAATTGCTAGATAATTTCTACAAATTCACATATTTTAAAAAAATGCCATCAAAATTATTTTTTCTACTATTTATAAGTTGAGACTTTAATTTAATTATTATAATATATTATATTTTTTAAAATATTTTTGTTAAAAAAGCAAGTTAAAACTCTTAAGTTTAATAAAATAAAGACTTTATAATTTTTTGGTCATAAATAATATCTATTGTCAAATAAGATGAAGAATCTGAAAAAAGAATAGGACCTTTATTAGGTGTTGCATAAGATTCTAGTTGTATGGTTCCTATTATAATTAGAAAAACTTATTTATCAATACATTGTCTTCTTTTATAATCATGCTCCTCATTTTTTGATTATATTGCTTCTTTAAATAATATTAAGCTTTGTATTTGGATTCTCTATAATATAAGCACAATCCTTCTTCACAATATCAAGTGTTTTTTTTTACTCAATGAGATGTTTAAAACATATTGTATCAATTGCATAAGTTTTAGCCTTGATAAATAAGTTTCTAAAAACTTAAGAGTTGTCATCATAACTTGATTTGTTCCTCTTCAATTAAAGCTTTGTATATGAATCCTATTATAATTATTTATAATTATATAAAAAAATTAAAATAAAAAAATTATAAATTTAATTTGAATTAAATCCATCAAGATATTGGAAAGGATGTAATTTTAGAAAAAACTTGACTTATTGTAGATATCCTTCAAATTTTGATCTTATTCCATCAAACTTCTCTAGCATACTAACCCTTGCATCCTTTATATTTGTAGTAACAAGACTTCTTGGATTCAATGCAGAGATTGACCTACTTTCTTCTTTCAATTGCATAACTTTTTAGCAAAGACATTATTTTTTATTGTTTAATTCTTCTATAGACAAAAGATTAGTACTTCTATGTTTAACATTGGTAATATATGAAATCTTTACTTTAAGAATGTCAACAAGCTTGTGTAAATTTACAATAATTAAAAGTCTATTCTTGCTTTTACCAAGTATAGCATCCATACTTTATTTTTCATCTATATAACCAACAATTTAACAAATCCATAAGTTAAATTAAAGGAGGATAATCTGTTATATATATATATATATATATATATATATATATTTTTTGAGAAAAAGTTATATAGCAACATTCTATAGGACCTCCAATACATGTTCAACATGCAAAATACATGATTAATTTGCAAGATAAGTTTCATACATATGCGACACATGTTCAACTTCTTAGCCAAGTTTTCAACTTATTAATTATCTACAAATATGTAAAAAATCAAATCCACATCTTTAAAGCTTCTAAAAAGCTTATCTATAAGATACTATTAAATTTATTTATTTTTATTTATTTCAATATAGCTCTTTTAATCTAAATACTATATATGTCCATGATAAAAGCCTAGAAAAATAAAATAAAAATTATATAGAAAATTTATTGGATGATAAATACTCCAGAATTGGAGCCCATTTTAAGAGCAAATTTTATGAATTCTTAATATATTCTTAGTCCAAGTCATATGTAGACAAAGAAAATTATGCATAATTGGTAAAAACATATTTCTTTCAATCTTTTTAGTTGATTCAAAGACTAATAATCATTCACTAATATAAGCAATAATCTCACTATCTACCAAATTATAGTACTGTCATTAAATATGGCACTAATAATATATGTTATCTAAGATTGCATGTATAACTTAAGTATTGGATTCTACCAAGTCCTATTAAAAAGCAACATCAAGATCACCTTTCTTTTAATCATATCTAAGTATGAAAGCTATTTTTATCTCCACATCCTTCAACAATGTGTTGACATAGAACTACCAAAATTAACAACAATACAAAATATGGTAATTGTATTGTTAAGGTCAAATAACTAAATTCTTTGAAAAAATCACAAAGCAAAGATCTATCTCTTTAGAAGAACGTAACTCACTCAAAAGCTTGATATATACAATTTTTTTGAAGAAAAAAAAAGAAAAGAAATCTTTGAATGTTGTATTTGATTATTTCCTCCATAATTGGTTGTGACAAAAGATTACCTAAGAGTGTTTCAATTAAAAAATATAGCGTGGAGAATGACTTTGGGTGAGAAACAAAAAATAAATAAACAGGAACCACTTCAATAGGAGATACCACTTCAATGTGGAGCTATAAAACACCAACCACCATACAATTTCATTTCATATTCTCCAAAATCAAAAAAAAAAAAAAAAACAACAACAACAACAACAACAACCAAGCTTATCTTCTTGCTATACATACTCACAGCAAGTTGCATTTTATCAAGCCAATGCATTCTCTGTTGTTAATCTTCTCTTTTTCTAACAATTTCCACACACCCATTCTGTCGCACTGTTGCCAAACATCTCACTATTGTGTGAATATCAACAGTCTCTGCTAGATCGGCACATAATTTGGTGCCAGACTGCTGGTGTCGGTGCGACTGGGTTGTTACCAGCTATTGGTGATTTCTAGAAAATGCTTCACCAGATGTCGATTCATGGCTACATGAATCCATGTTGAGGATACTCAGACACTATCATGTGGATGCCACAATCGGTGAAGTGTGTGAGTTACTGAACCAGCAACGATCAGTTCGATCATGCAAGCTCAGAAATCGTCTAGTAATTTGTGCTATCCGTGGTGGATACTCGTGCATGAGTGGAAGTGATGAAGTGTGCAATTCCACCGTGACGAGCGTGCGTGTGAGAATGCAGATGGCTAGCTGCTAGATCCACTCGTGGATAGAACTAGATTAATTCATGATGCTTGACGAACCTCGTAAGATTTGTAAAGTTGATGAGATCATGGAGCACACTCCGTCGGACTTATATGTTTGGTTTTCGCTGCTTCGAACACCTAGCCCTGTTTCTGCCTCTAGCTGCGCTCCTCTGTCAATTATCCTGATGACCTTTAACGCCACCGATCTTCGCACAAGTATGTACACACGATAACAATTATGTGGATGTTTTGTGTTTAGTAGTTTACCGACACGTATTGTCAGTATACTCGATTTGACTTGCGCCGGAGCTGAACCTTGCCTTCTCATACATCAAAGTCTGGATCATGAGTCCATTTTGAGTATTCTTTTCGCGCCGCTGGATATTGCGTGGCCAGAATGCTCGTCTGTTCCAGCAACAGCTACTATCGATTCACATGGGGAATGAGAGGATGGCAGTGGCTCATCTGCAAGTGGCGCTTGAGGTGAATCTTGCTTTCAGAGTCCTCCATACTTTCCCCTTAAGGATCGCCAGCGTCCATTTTACGAACCTGGAACGACCCACAGATCGATGATTTCAAAGTGAATTGAAATCCACACAGGGCTACACTCGTTCGACACAAGGTGTGTGCATCGGTATGCCCACGCGATGTTTGCTTCTCTGTGGGGTCTGAAATCTACCTCTTCAGATGCAGGTCGACAAAACGATGTGACGCAGGGGAGAAATGCTGCTCCAGCATCGACGGGAAAAGTCTCGGAAAGCGTAGCGAAGAAAAGGAAGTGCCGCAGGATTTACGGATTCGACGGCTTATGTTAGCCACTCCCCAGATGTGACAAAAATCATGCATAGTCTCTGATGATGCAGATGGGTTTTGTATTGACGGCGCAAGCTCGGTCAGCTTCATGGTCCACAGCATTGCATTGATCGTGGCTTTCGTTGCTACCGCTTTCATGCGGCCACGGGAAGGACGCGCGTCAAGGATGTTGCGCTGATGGTCTCCTCCTCGAACATAATACCCGCGATACGAAATTTCGGCGCTGCTTTTTAAGGTCGCAGCATTCGCAACGACGATGTCAACTGGATGGACTCGAAGAGATTCTTTCAGAAAAAACTATAATCCATGATCCTGCATTGTTAATCGAAGAATGCTCAAATATTGTGATGAAGGATAAGCTTTGAAATGATAAACTTGGTGATGGAACATGAACTAAAATGCAATATGATTCAGAGTTCAATTTTGTAGCAATTGTCTATGTTCTATCTTTACTTTGCGGGAATTGAGGAACGATGAAAAGAAATACAGATGCTGAACCACTGACAAGCACTGTAATCCACTTTCTTTGATTCTCAAGTGGCTTAATAAATTTTTAGTGTCAAAAAAATCTACCAATCATTCACATTCAAGCAATGGAATTTGTTTCACACTGAAAAGCCACTTTTTCAATGTGTGACAAGTTCTATTACTTTAGAATAGTCTCAAACTGAAAGCACACACCTACTGAAAGGCTTAGAGGATTTAAATAGTCTGTCACATCCTTGCGTATCGCATGAAACAAACTTCACATCAGTGTAATGAATATTCGTGCAAGAAACGAAAAACTTGCAGACTCATCATTCCGTTGTTTGGTTTTTTATTATTTCCCGTCTAATAAAACACCAGATAAGAACCAATTCGTCGATGTTCCATCATTGTTCCCACATTCTCCAACAACAAAAAGAACATATAATTGCAAAAGGAACAAGCGCATGGTCTCTGCCAAAATGGTCCAAAGCAGTTGAAATGGAACTATATCAACTCCTCCATCATACTCGCAAGGAGTTTTCCTTTTTCGTTCCTGTGTGTGTTTGTGAATCTTCTGCTCTTGAGAGTTGATAAAGAGCATTATGCATTTCTGACCAGTGGCTCACAACTGTCGTCAGATCGTAACAGATTTGCGAGGAAATTCGGGTACAAATACATGAGAGAGGCAAAACGTAATACTCATCGCTGGTTGCGAGCGGCTACAGCATGCCCACAATCTACAGAAGCCCTGTGACTATGCTGGCCGTGCCGTGACGGCGTCCTAGGCAACCAGGCCAGTGTGTGTCAGTACGCGAGTGCACGTCAACCGAATGAGCTCCCACTGGATAATCGTTTCAGTCAACGGCCAAAGTGCCTCATCTCGGCAGGATGCCATTGAAAAAGATTCGAAGTCTATGCGATAAGCTCTGCAAGGGTCCACAGGTTGCCGATTGCCGGTGAGTATGCGCTGTTTGAAAGGTGGGATGCAGCCGGATTGTGTAAAGAAGGAATCCGATTCTCGAGCCGCATTCGTCTCCCGCTTTTGCACTCCCCGAAGCGCTTCGGGTATATGACAGATCTTCAACCGCGAGCATTACGTGTAGTGTCTGACCATGTTGCCAATAAACAGTGTCAGGTGGAAACGATGTGAAGCATTAGAATTGCTGTGTGGCGCCACGATTCGCCGTTCGAATCCCTTTATATCGATTTTTGCGGCGGGTGTTTTCTCCAGTGAATGAGTCGGGTGTTTTCAGGGGGTGGTTCACATACTTGTGACCCAGTTACGTCCAGCATGGGTGAACACCTCCTGGTTAAGTTTAGTATCATGCAAGGCTGGCGAGAGGATTGGGATTTGCTAATCAGAGACCTCTCTGTGGAATGAAAGTTCACAGGAAGTGAACGGTAGCGCTTTGCAGTGCAGACTCGACTGGTAAAATGAGTTAATACACCATTGTCTTTCAAACACTCTCTGAATCGAGCAAACGTGATGTTGCAGGTACAGTTGAAGCGACCTCCAGTGAAGGTACTAATACGAGAGTCGGGGTTGCATTGTATCGGGAACTAAACTAGGCCCTCTCAAGCTTGAGCTTAGTGCTCTAAGTGAGACACTGGGCAAGTGCGTGCAAGGTCACAGATCAAAGAGGATGAAACGCAGCGTTTCTGATGCCGAGATTTATCAAGATGAAACCAGCCGTTGTACCCTTGCTTGAAACATGATACATGCGTTTCGAGTTCAGGCAGTGGTCGGCATTCTAGAGTTTGGACAAGCGTCTTATTCAGGCATAATTGCAGAAACACCATGATTTTGCACGGAGAGTAGGTGTAGACTTTTTCGAAGTTTTTTGAAGTTCATTGTTTCTTCTTCTTTTGTGTTGAAACCCTGGAGAGATTGGGGCTACGTTGAGCAGTGTCGTGATGTCAGAACGGTAGAAAGAGTCTTATAGTTTAGGTTTGTATCACCTCGAGAATTCAAGATAGTTGAGCAAGGGGGGATAGAGAAGCCGGCACCATGACGGCCACCTCGGCGTTTGTCACGTCGCTCCTTACTTCGTTCGGCATCTTCTGTGGCCTGGTGTTTGCGTTCAGCATTCTGTCGAAATGGAAGGTAAACCACAATATATACTATTCCGCGCGGATAACTGCTGGCGAGGGTCCTACAGCGGCTGCCAGGACGCGGAATCCATTCGCCTGGTTGCGCGAGGCGATTTTTACCTCCGATGAGGAGCTCATTCGAATTGCTGGTTTAGACTCCGCTATTTACCTCAACTTCTTCGTCTGCAGTGAGTTCCTCAAACATGCTACGAGTTTCAAATTCAGTTTTTTTTATTCAAATAATTGAAACCCAGCTGCTGTATTTTGAAAGTTTTCAAAGGATTGAGGATTAGGACTAACTCTGGTGCTGTCGGGCGAATTAATGCGCACAAAAAGAAATCGTTGGAATGATAACACACCCCGTTTCCGAAGTTAATACTATCTAGAGTCGACGTAAGTTGTGAGGCCCGCTAACTTGTCTCCGCTATTCTGATGCTTGCAATATGTAACAGTTCTAGAGATTTTCGGATACTCGGCGCTCTTTTGTATTCCTGTGCTCGTTCCTATCGCAGCGAGAAGCAGAAATAATGAAGCTGTTTTCGCGCTCGATCCCAACCAGACTTACGAAGGGTTTGACAACCTGGCCATGGGCAATGTTGAGGTGAATGCACTCACCATCATATCTTGTGATCTTTTGGTTTGGGGTCATTCTTCGTGCATCTCGATGCTAATAATGCTGGAATTGGTAATGCCAGGAAGGAACTGCGAAGCTCTGGGCGTTTCTTGTTGGCACCTACTGGGTATCATTTGTGACATACTTTGTTCTGGTCAAGCATTACAAGAAGATGATTCGCTTGCGGGGGAAGGAGCAAGCACGTGAGAAGGCTGCTCCCCAACAATTCTCTTGTCTGATTCGTGACATTCCTCCTCCGCCGAAGGGTATGACCAGACGAGAGCAAGTGAACGCCTTCTTCAGAAAAATTCATCCCGATACTTACATGAATTGTTTAATTGTTTGTAAGCTGAACAAGGTAGGGAATTTTTTTCCCCCTATTCGAATTAGACTGTGCTTCCCTGTGTCTCTAACGATAACATCAAATTTGATATTAGGAATTGTGGTTGGGGAAATCTGTAACGTGTTCTGAGGGTTCTAGTGTTTTGGAGACAGTTGTTGAGGATTTGGAAGAAGCATCAAGCGGCGAAAAGGAATTTGGAGCACGCTGAAGCAGTATACGAGGAGTCGAAGACGACAGGGAAGCCTGACGGAACTCGCCCAATGCACAGACTATATTTTCTGGGGTTGTGCGGCCCGAAAGTAGATTCCATCAATTTCTACGAGGAGCAAGTGAGGGAAATGGCAAGCATGGTCGCGGTGGAGCAGCAAAGAACGCTCAAGGAAGAACAACTTCCTGCAGCGTTTGTATTCTTCAGCAGCCGGCGAGCTGCTGCCGAAGCTTCGCAGGTACTTGTTTCAAAATCACATCCATGTCTGAAATCTAAATGCCCTCGTAGACGATGCAGCTTCTTCCTCATTCTCCGCATATTTTGTTTGGAACTTAACTTCGTGTGGGACATCCCAGGCTGTGCATGCACCCTACGCCATGCAATGGCGAGTTTTCCCGGCGCCAGAGCCCCGCGAGGTTGTATGGAACAATCTACACAAACCTGTCTACGAACGAATGATTCGCAGTGGGCTTGTGTATTTCGCAGTATTCATGACAGTCGTGTTTTACATGATTCCAATTGCTCTCATTTCTTCCTTCACCACTCTCGACAATCTCGTCAAGATACTCCCATTTCTCGAAGTTGTTGTCAACTTTGGACCCATCAACACAGTTCTGCAGGTATATCCTAAACTGATATATCATCTTCCCCTGAAGCAGACTGAAATGCGCTGTTTCATTCGGAATTGCAAGGCTTGGATGGAAACTCACTCTAATGGCTCAGCGTATACTTTTATGTGTTGGTTCTAGGCTTTCTTGCCCCAGATTGCCCTCATCATCTTTCTGAGTCTGCTACCATCGCTCCTAATGGCATTTTCAAGAATGGAAGGCATCCCCTCTCAAAGTCATGTGGTTCGAGCAGCTTCAGGGAAATACTTCTATTTCGTCATCTTCAACGTTTTCCTTGGAGTCACACTTTTTGGAACTGTTTTCTCCTCTCTAGCTGGATTCCAGACCCTTCTCAACTCGAAGAACTTCTCCGTGAGCAGTGTTGTCACTCTGTTCGGGAGCAAGCTGCCTCCTGTCGCGGCGTACTTCATCACTTTCGTTGCTCTTCAGTAAGTCCTTTCCTCAGTAGCTCATTCTCTGGAGAAGCACTCTCTGATAACTTGGTGGTAAGGTATTCTACGTATCCCTGTGTTTCTGTTTTTCTGTAGGATTTTATGGAGGCAAGTCTAATGGATTATATATCTGGCAGGTTTTTTGTTGGCTATGGGTTGGAACTGTCGCGCGTTGTACCACTGAGTGTCTATCACCTGAAGAGGAAGTTCCTGTGCAAAACGGAGAAAGAGCTAGAGGAAGCATGGGAACCCGGACCCTTTGAGTATCAGACCCTGGTGCCCAATGATATTCTCATTTTGATGATCTCCATGGCCTACGCCGTGATCGCCCCCATGATCCTCTTGTTCGCTATCGTCTACTTCGCCATCGGCTACGTCGTCCTCCGCAACCAGGTGAGTCTCTCCCCACACCCTGAACCCCTAGTTTGTTGTAGACACAAGGGAGGAGGAAGCCAACGTATGTGGTTAACCTCTAAACATACACCGATTCTCTGCAGGCTTTGAAGGTGTATGTTCCTGAATTTGAGAGCGGAGGCCGCATGTGGCCACACATCCATACCCGAATTGTTGTGGCGCTTTTCATCGGACAAATCACGATGATGGGATACATGGGAATCAAGAAGTTCCCCTATGCAGTGCTGGTGATCATCCTCCCCCTCTTCACAATTTTCTTCGCGTCCATGTGCAAGATGAACTACTACCCCTCCTTCAACGTCATGTCTCTCGCCATCGCCAGTGAGGACGTCAAAGAGTCGCCGCCCATGCGCGAAATCATCGCAGCTTACACACCCGAGTGTCTTGTCCTTGAGGATCAAGATGTCTACGAAAGCGAGCATTTCGAAGATGCGCGAGAGTCTAGCGTTAGTACAAGACCGATGGTCATCTCCAGATCAGATTCGGCGTCTCATGAAACCACGGCGGATTTATACGCCCTTTGATAGAACAAATTCCGTTTATTCATCGCAAACCATCAGCAGAACCAGCCCATGCTAGAACTCCTGGAAAACATCTTCTCATCTTCGCAGTAAAAATAGTATAGTTTACGTTGCGTGAGAGATGTCAAACTCTGTAATCTAATCAACAGAAGATGATCCTCAAGTGCAGGGAATAACTTCTCAATAGTTTTGCTCCACACATGTTTTCAAGAAGGGAGATATTTACGGTAGCTCAACAAGTACTTCCTTCTTTGCAAATTTCCTTCCTCTAAATCCTGCTTTCCACCTTGTTCACATGTGGTGGGATCTTGTGGAGATCACACGAATCCATTGTTGGGCTCACGAAAAATATCTCCCTCACTGAAAACACCACAAACTCCTGCTGCTCTTCAATGTTAACGACCTTTGATTGATGCGAGGGGAACTTGCAGCGACAGGCACCCATCTGCATCTTTCTCCTCGCAATCCTTTTCTCGATCGCCAACCTTCCCTCAACCTCACCAGACAAAGACGTGATGCGGCAAGCACCAGCAGATTCACCCAAGCAACGCTTGAGGGTAATGCATCTAAACTGGACTACTTCTGCAGCAAGTCCTGTTGAAGACAAGCGCACTGTGACTGATGTCGTCAACAACCATACTTACTTCATCAGATAGTTCCCCCAAAGAAAACGTAACGGTGATACTCTCAGTGCCGTTGTGTTACTCTTCTTTTAATAAGTACTTGATACAAGTTAAATAGGATCCTCTGTATGAGTTTTATTATCTGAGTAAAATGTGTGTGTCTACATCATGGTATCAGAGCGAATAGCTTAGGCAAACACTGATCGGTGAGCACTGCTCCCACTAGTCGAGCATATGTGAGAAAGATAACTGAGTAAAGTGAGCCCTGCTCCTCACAGTGAAGATTTGAAGAGAGAAAAAAGTATTCATAGTCTAGCCAAGTGACTATCGTATCAAATTCTGTTTCCTAGAAAGCAAACGTGCAGAATCAGAATGATGGTAGGTGAAGGTCAAGTACGCTCACTGATAACTGAAAGCAACAAGCTAGAGGGAGGAAGTAACTACAATGTATGGAGATTGAAAATGACTACATGGTTCAAAAGAGAAAATATGTGGAAAATATTTGATAACAAAGTAGTTCCTACCTCTTGGCCAACATCTATTGGAAGTCATGTATACACAGAGCAAAAATCCAAAGAGTTAAAGTTTATGAAAAACCACGCTAGTTATGGCAGTGAAAGACGAATTGGATCTTGCTTCTGAGAATGAAGCTCCTACTGATACCAGGCAAATACTAAAAGAACAATTCCAGTCTGGTGACGCATCTCAAGTCCTTCTTCTCTTTATTAAGTTTCATCACATGAGGATGCAAGATAGTGGAAATGTAGAAGAAAACATTAGACAGGCAAGAGAACTCAAAAACAATTTAAGCACCCTAGGACAACCAGTTGAGAATTCTACTGTAGTACAATTAATGCTTGCTGGTTTGCCAAGAAGCTATAAAGGGTTTATCCAAAGCCTAAGTATGCTAGATAGGCTATCAACTTTTACAGTATGAGCATCAAAATTATTGAGCAAAGCACACCGCATTGAACTAAGAGAGAAGCGGCTCGAAGACGAGGAGGCATTCTTAGTGCAATTCCGAGGTTCGATACAGGGAATCGCTTTAGAGGTCGACGACATGATATAGTCAGTATAGGAGAAGGGCGGTCAAACTGGAATGACGGAGGAGGAAGCTATACTTACAGTAGCAGTTCGAATCAGCACACAAGGGGGCGAGGCGGTTCTAACAATCGACGTTTTTTTATCAAATTTTGAACAGCCACGCCCATGGGAGAATCACCGCTCTCAATGTGGCAGCCCTAGGTATCCTACCCGATACTATCGAAGTGGCAACATGAACTCTTCACCTTGCGATCATAGAAAAGAAATTAATACCGTTCATACTATAGAGTCTCCCAAGGAAAACCAGCTAGTGAATTCAATGATAGCAAGGATGACATAGAAGTGGCACTTACTGAGATCTCAAATATAGCAAAGCAAAGACAGCCCTAGTACCTAGATTCAGGAGCCACTCAATACGTTACAGCAAAAATGGATATACAAGAAGCAGTAAAAAAAAACATAGAAACTGGTTTCCAAAAACAACAAAACATAGGTCAACTAGAGTATTAGAAATATTACATGCTGACCTTATAGGCCCTCTTCCTACACAGTCATTGAGTGGATCAAAGTATATAGCTGTGTTCACTGATGACTACTCATGCAAAACTTGGGTGTTCTTTCTGAAAAACAAATCAGAAATTCTTATCAAGTACTTAAAAGAAATGACAGAAAAAGAGATAGGAGAAAAAGTAAGCATGATATGAAGCGATCATGGAGGGGAATTCACTTCATTTGAATTTCAATAGTATTGTAATCAACATGGCATAAGATGACGACTGATCTAAGCATATACTCCTCAACAAAACGGAACGGCAGAGGCAAAATCGTACAATTATCGAAAGAGCTAGGTGCATGATTTCAGGCAGCAAATTATCTAGGTATTTGTGGAGCGAAGCTATCAATACAGCAAATTATATTGTGAATCGAAGTCCTACTACAGCCAACAAAGGGATAACACCTGAAGAATGTTACACCAAGAAAAAACCAGATGTAAGTAACCTTTGCATCTTTGTTTGTCTTGCCTATATGCACATACCTAAACAAAATAGAAACAAATTAGAAAGTAAAACTCTCAAATGCCTTTTAATGGGGTACGACTCACACTCTAAAGCATATAGAGTTTTTGAGCCACACTCATGTAAAATCTATATTACTCGTGATATAATTTTTGATGAGACAAAGATAGGCATGGATCATATGGACACACCAAGATTATCTGGTTCTTCTCCACTGCCGTTCCCCAATTCTTTTGTTCACAAATCACTAGATGAACTGCCTCTTTTTGACACAAGTAACGAGTCTATCATTTCTGAAACTCAACATATGACAGAAGCTCCCATAGAAGCTGAAGACTATGAACCTTTCTTGTCTTCTGAAACAGCTGCACCCTTGGATCACACTGAACCTATCAGATTACAAAACCCACGTCTAGCAAATATCAATAATCCACCTGACTGCAACAACCAACTGGAACCATCAACTCAACCAACTTACCATAGGTATCGAAAACTTACCATAGGATGGGACGTCGATCAACACAGCTTAAGGACTACTACACCATGATAGTTGACTCTGAAATTAAGCCACTTTCCAATATAGAAGCAAGCTTACACGCTGGATGGAGAGCACCTCTATGCAAAGTGAAATAGATTCTATTCAAAAGAAAAAGACCTGGCTCATAGTCGAATTGCCAGCTGGAAAGACTCCAATAACTGCGAAATGGATATACAAGATCAAGACAAAAAATGATGGTTAGAAAACATTCAAAGCCCGATTGGTGGCTCGTGGGTTTGAACAGACCCACAGTATCGATTATTTTGATACCTACTCACCCGTGATTTGTTGGAATACTATACGAACTGTCTTAGTCTTATCAGCTCAAAAATAGTAGTCATTACAACAACTTGACGTCAAAACGACATTCTTAAACGAGAAATTGGAGGAAGATGTATTTATGCACATACTAGCTGGATTCAAAGCACATGGACTTGAGGGGAAAGTTTGTCGACTTGGCCAAGCTCTCTTTGGCTTGAAAACAAGCCACATTGATACTTATTTTCATATGATAGGCCTTACTTGCAGCATTTCTGACTAAAACCTCTACATATCAACTCGAGACAACAAAACCATCTTAGTGCTACTCTATGTTGATGACCTCATCGTAACCGAAGATGATTACTCTGGCATCCACAACCTAAGCACACACCTACTACACACTTTTGATATGATTGAATTAGGCGAAGCTTCTCTATATCTCGGAGCTAAAATTGTTCGTGATGACATCCGAATCTGTCTTCATCAACAATCCCACATACAAACCTTCTTAAACAGGTTTGACATTGCCCACTGTAACTCGATGAACACACTCATGTGCTCTAGCACAAAACTTCAAGAAAACACATGAACAAACGAAATCGACTTGAAACAATTTCAATCGCTGATTGGTGCATTACTCTACCCTGCAACAATATCGAGAGCAAATATTAGCTATGCCATAGGGTGCTTAAGTCGATTCTTACAACGTCCACAGCACACACATCTAATTGCAGTCAAGAGGGTTCTGAGGTATCTGAAGGGCACAGCTAATTATGGGCAATATTTCCCATCAAATGGTTACATACAACTTGTTTCCTATGCAGATGCTGATTACGGCCAGTGTCTTGATACGAGACAATCTATCTCGGGAATTCTACACAAATTGGGGGATACCATTATTGAATGATCAAGAAAAAGACAGTCCACTGTAGCTCTCTCCAGGACCGAAGCTTGAATACAGAGTACTCACAGAAGCCACGAAAGATGTGATCCACCTTTGCCGACTGCTCCAAGAACTTCACCCTTGCAAACTGAAGCCAAACTATATCTTCAGTGATAATCAAAGTTGCATAAAATTAGTACACAATCCAATCCTTCATGCCCGCACAAAGCATATTGAGATCCAATATCACTTTATTAGAGAAAAATGCCAAAGCGGCAAAGTCATTATTGACTACATACCCACTCAACAACAGCATGCAGACACACTAACGAAACCACTCGATACGTCCCTCTTGGAACAATTGAGAGACTCAATCTATATCAAGCCATCGCCGCTCCAATTACAACTACAAGCTCAAACTAATTCTTCAAAAATCTAACTGCCTCTTCTTGAGTTCTAAAACATCTGAAATCTGCCTCGCTGTAGTCTTCTACTTGGCGTTCACAATCGCCCCATGAGGTATATATGCCACGTACAAAACCCTTTCTAACTGCATAAACTCTCATCTTGGATGGAATTCCTCACAATCTACCATAAAAAGGAAATACCTTCACAAAATGCGGCGCGGAGGAATCACCTAAAAATTCAGATTTTCTACTGGTAACAAATCAAACCTAGAGCCGATGTCGATTTCGTCAGTATTCTCCACCTCTTGTGTATCGTCCTCGACGTTGCTCAATAACCCTTTGAGTACTTGAAGACACCAGTCGCAGAAACATCGAACAACAAAAGTGAAGCACCAAAAACCTAGTAGCAACACTCTCCACTGTAAGCGAGTTAGAATAGCAAACAGAAAAAACATCATAGGATTACACCACACAATTAGCAAGAGTTCATCGTACCACACTTCGACAATGCAACCAATGTCTCATCTAAGTCTCGAAACGATTTGTCCTCAACATTGAAACCACTTAGAGAAATAATGAATCTACAGTTCGAGAGGGCATGTTGAAGACAAGCGCACTGTAATTGATGACATCACCAACCATACTTACATCATCAGATAGTTCCTCCAAAGATAACGTAACGGTGATACTCTCAATGCCATTGTCTTACTCTTCTTATAATAGGTACTTAATACAGTTTAAATAGGATCCTCTGCATGAGTTTTATTATCTGAGTAAAATGTGTATGTCTACATCAAGTCCGCAGGCCAAGGTCCACTCCCCACCATGTGAGCACTGCAAGCAATTTGCTTCACAGCCTCTGTTCGGCTCCGATCACACCTGCAACTCTGACAAGCTCGCGAACTCGCCCTGACTTTAGCTCCGACAGATGGGGCGATGCTTCGGCAATCTCAGACGCATAAAATAGTTCTAAACCCAGTAGTAGTGCTTCACAACAGCAGGGCTTGAATTGGCTTGGCAAATGGAACTGATGACGCCCAGATAAGCTACAAGAAGACAAATCAATACAACGTCAACGGGTCCTTCAGAGCGTTCGATACGAGGGAGCGAAGCATTTTGGGTGTTGATGAAGGTTATGGTTTTCCGGTGTCGGTGAAGGTTATGGGCCACGGGACGGGGCGGGACGGGCAGACTCGCTATTTGGAGGTTTGGATTATCTTAGGTTCTAACTAGTGCAATAAACACCTAAATTTTCTTTGATTAACCACAAGTTTTATAAAAATAAAATAAAAAATAAAAAAGTAGTGTTAACAATAACATACAAGAAATGTTAGTTCAATCCATACTTGCTTCAAGAAAATAAGTTGTAATGAAAATGTGTTATTTTGTTATGTAATGTATACTTCTATGCATATAATAAAAATAACAACAAAATTATTTTTTCAAAAATAGAAAAACATTTTAAGGAATAAAATTACAACATTTTTCTAGTATAGTAATGTGATCGTAGAAGATACCCTACTTCAGAACAATATGCATGGTATCGCTTACACCAAAAGAACAACAAAATAAATGCTTGGTGGACTGCAAGATAATTACAGTTGATATTTTAAATTTTTTAGATGACATTATACTTCAATACGGTTTTGTTTTCAATATGTATGTAGTAATGTTGGTAACATCTTTCAAAGTACCAAAACCTTTTTTCTTTTCCTTCATCATTTATTATATTATTACAGATAGTAATAATAATTACAGATGTCTCCCTTTTTATTTTGGCTCATTTGAAATTTCGCTCATTCTCATTTGCAAACTTGATTGAATGAAAATTCCATTTATTGTGTTACACAGTATTACATTTATTAACACAAAATATATGTTTTGTGTTTTACATGAATTTTTTAAAATCAAACTTTCAATAATAAACACGTTGCATGGTATTGTATTTAGAATCAACGTGCTTAAATCTTGATGCTTCTAAATGAAAACCTTGGAAACAATGTTTTACTCTTTTCCCATTCATACATGCACATGACTGTATTAGAAAATTTACAAAAATGTTTCCATTCACAAAACTTTGTATCCATTAAAAATATTCTAAGATCTCCAAAAGAACTATAATTCATTCTTTTTATTTCAATTTTAAAAAAAAAAAACAAAAAAAAACAAAACAAAGTTGCATAATCTGAACAGACTGCATAAAGTTTTCATGTTTTGTCACATAACGTGAAAATAAAATTATTTCCAACAAAAATGTACAAAACACTAACAGAACCGCTATAAAAAGAAATCATACAAAACAAATATAAAATGTTTGTTGAATTTGTCCAATTATTTTATTAAATTGGCGAAAAAATCATATCGTTGGATTGGCTTTTAAATTCCAAATACAACATGAATAAAACATGGAGTGTCTCTATTTTGCTCTGATACCTGCAATAAAATGAGGTTCATAACATATTAATTCTTTCAAATGTGTTTTAAACAACACAATTAGATGAGGAAACTCAGAACAACAATGAGATGAATAAACATATAACTTGTATGTATGTATATACGATATGCAATTAATTAAAGTGCTCTCTTCATTTCAAAGTTAAAAGTAGAAACATAACTTACATGGGGATATCAAATATTGCACATATAATATCAATATAGGTAGCAAGGTCTACATCTAAATTCGCTGAGGGCAGTTTAATTTCACTGAGGACTTTGTCAATTTCCACAGGCCAGGGCTGTATAATGAGGTTTAAAAAAAAAAAAAAAAAAAAAAAAAACAACAACAACAACAACAATTTGAGAATATAAATATATATATATGAGAGTGCATATAGGTTTTTTCCTTGAAACTATATTGAATTTTCATTTTTAAAAAAATATTTATAAAACACTACTTTTCAACTGAGAAATATTTTTGAGTTTAAGTTTACAATCTGTTGAATATATTTTTTTATCTTCTTTCGTTTTATTCATATATATACATGTGTAAATATAGATACTCCAAGTGAAATGTATCATCACCTGTTTTAATTTTTCTATATCAGGCATTGGCTTAGAATACAACACAGTGCACGGCGGTCTCATCCGATGAAAAGTTTTAATACTATCAATCCATGAATCCAATTTATCAGGACATTTCTCAACATTCTCAATGGATGTGACCTACAAAACAAAACCCATATATTTGATTTAAAAAATTACTTTTAAATAATTAATATTTCTATATGTGTGTGTGTATATATATATTATATATTATTGTATGTTTTATGAATCACCTTATAAGTAAATGACTTTTTTGATAAATTAAAAAAAAAACAAAAGATATTGAACATTCATTTACTTTTACCTTGTATATTTAGCTTGTAAATTGTTATATTAGATACAAATAATATTTAAAGAAATTATGTACCTACATTAAATGCTTGAAAATTACTTTGCATGGATGTTGAACAAAGTTGCAATGCAAGAATGGATGGATCAGTTTGTTTTGGCCCATCTTCATCCAACACCTAATCACCCAAATAGAAAACATTGCAAAATTAGTTTTTTAAAAATAATTAGCAAGAAGTACCGACCCATCACAATAAGTTTAATCAACCTATGATAATTCACATTAAGCATATTAATTAGTTTTTTTGCATTATAAACATATTTACCTCTAATCCCAAATTTTGAAATTGACCATTTGGTGGTGGAACTTTAATAAATTCATCGACCGATCCTAAAGCCGGTATAAAATTGGGATAGAATGGTTTTAATTTTGTTCCAATTTGGATATCTTGGGGTTTGAATGCTTCAATGTAAGCAAACAATTCTTGTAATTGTTTATCAATCTGGCAATATATGGTAAAATATGAACTTGGTTTATAATTTGAGTAATTTTAAATTAGTGTATCAATAAACTTTCACTAAATTAATTTTGGTCATTTTTATTATTTTATAAATTTATTTGGAATTCAAAATAAGATTAAAAAAGAAAAAAGAAAAAAAAGAGGGTAATATGAATAACAATGACCTCTTGGAAGTTTTTATTAAAGGAGCTTGATGAACTTTTGATTGAAGAAAAACATCCATTGTAAGATGATGAATATTTATCAACCACATTATTAGATCCATCATGTATAAATTTGGAAGAAGTATCATTTACTCCAATTATAGAATTCTTATTGGAAAGTGGTTGAAATCCTTGATGAATGCATCCAAAGAAGACATAATTTAATAAGATGAATAACATATTGATCAAGAAATATTTAAACTATAAATTTATTGTTACTTATAATCTTATTGACACTAAATTTCAATTATTTGAAGAATATATATATATATATATATATATATATATATATTTAAAAAATTCAACATTGTCAAAAGTTATTGTGTAAATATGAAAGATCACTTGCTATTAAAAGTTATTGTAATTATTTCCTTTTAATTTTGATTTGGTATAAATCTTGCATGAAATGAAATAGTAGCTCTGTACATCGGTAGTAGCCATAGATCTTAAACCTTCATCCTGTATAAAAAAAATACATATTACGTTCAGATTCTCTTCTGATATTAAAAACGTGCATTAAAAAATGAATTTTTCACATATATATATATATATATATATACATACATAGATTTTATTAGTGTTACAATATCACAAGTATGAACTTAGAGCATTACACCATGCTTGTATGAAATTGGTCTTGGGAATTTGTTTAACTTTGTATTAAGTGGTGGTGAGTTACATATCAAAGCATGATCACTTATGATTCCTGAGTTAGCAAATGAAATTGAATCATGTTTTATTTATTTATTTATAGATTTTCTGGAATTCAATCTATCAAAGTATTAATACTTTCTTCAAAAACTAATTAAAGTATGATTCATTGTTTAACAAGAAAATATCAATAAAGAGTGTCAGTTCATTGAACAATCAAAGTAATTATCAAAAGCAACTGAAAATCTGTGTTAATATCGAATTTTAATATTTTGAAAACAACTACTATGTTATTCTAAACTAAATTAAGTTTTACTTCTACTTTTGAATGTTATCAGAATTGAATAGTTGGGGTAACAATAATAATAATCTCAAAAAGTAAATAATCAAAAATTTTGAAAAATCTTTAGAATCCAAAAACTTAAAAATGCAATCAAAATATGCATTATTTCATGATATTCACATATTTGAATTTTTTAATCTCTGACTTCTTTTTCTTATAATCAAATAATTAAGTTAAATTAAATTGCAAGAATATGACTTTCCTATTATTATTTTTTAATTCACAAAAAGTAATGGAATAAATTACAATAAATTATTTTGGTATTAATACCTGATTCATTGTCAAGTTGTCTGAGTTGGGTATTGTCGCATAAGTCTTTGTGGGCATTGCTTTCACAACTCTCAACAGACTCAGGAGTCATTGAATTCCCTGCATTAGACTGAATCAATATTGACATTGTAAGAACAAAAACATCACTTATGATTTGTATTATTGTACATGCAATTCTAATTCAAATAATCAGCAATTTTTTATTTTTATTTTTATTTTTTATTTTATTGTTTACTTGTGTTATTTTAAGAGTTTATCAACATTGTCTTCATTATTTATTTATTTTTATTTTCTTTATTTTTTCTGTGTGTGCATACTTATTTATTTATGATAAATAAAACCGACACATTTTTTATATTTTATTTTTTATACCAGTGAATCATTTGCATCCTCATCTTCATTATTGTATCCTTCACTACTTTGCATACTTGAAAAACTCAAAGAAGATAATGGTCTTAGATTTGGCATTGTGAATGTTTTAAGATGATCCATTTTTCTGCTCGTATTACAATAAATTGATTTAAAAACCATGAAATATAATCATTTAATCAATATTTTATTTCGCTTACTGATATTTCTCAAAATACAATGCTACTGAGTTGATTATTATATTTAATAGTTTGGATATGTAACACAAGATTATTGAGTATTTACAAATTTGAAGATAAAACTCTTTCTTTAACAGGATTATTGTTGTAATCTTTTATAGTCTTGTCTTTTATTTCACGTAACATTTGTACAATTATACATGAATGCGTATTAAGATTTCAGTATTTGTCATTATTATGTTGTGTGTTGTGTAAAGAATATATACATGAAATGAACACCTGTTTATAGAAAATGATGAAATTATTAATCAAGTGTAAGCAATTCATTAGGTTTTAACAGAATATTGAGTTGAAAAATGAATATGTGATGATGTAATTACAATCCATCATCTGTTTTGATGCCCTAAATGTTAAATTATATAATTTGATGTGAATTGATATTTTGTATTATTTTTTTATTTTTTTGTAATATTGTAATATTGTAATAGAAAGAATCTTCTTTAATTTCATTGATGATAGAGTGCTTATTACTTAAGTTTGTCAATAAGCATTACAACTTAAAAGAAAACTAAAACCAACTTTTTATAATGAACAAGCATTAAAATGAAGACTTTTAAAATGGATTCATCCTTCTTCTCATACTTACACAGAAAATAATATAATTTTTAAACATCAAGTACTGAGAATTCAAAATCAACTCAAATTTATATTATTCAAGTCTGAATTGTACCTTGGGTATGTTAACATTGAAAAGGTATCATATGTTTCACTTCTGGAAGCTTCCAATTTTTAAACTAATGAGCCAAAAATGTAGTTGTAATTTGATTTTAAGGTATACATTTCAATCTCTGCAACATGTTAAGATTAAATAATCAAGGTTTATTTATTTCTTAAATCATCTACATACATGATTTTAAAAAAATAAAAATATACACTCCTCAAATTTCAAGTTAAATACAGGACTCAGTTACAGAATATGATGGTTTGATGAGTTTATTTTTTTATTTTTTTATTATTTTTTTTACCTTTTTTCTTTTTCTTTTCCTTTTCCTTTTTGATGTTAATTGGTTTTAGTGATTGAGGGAATAATCTTTAATATTTTTTTGAATGATTGAATTCTATGTTCTATTATTTTATTATTCTCTGTTCTTATTTCCTCTTACCATTCATGGAAGTTTTATGATTGAACTTGAGAATTTATTTGATTAAAAAGGACGAACTTTAAAAGGCTTTGAGTGATTTAAAATAAAATCAAATCAAATCAAATAAACAAACAAAATGGCTATAATTCTTATTCCAGAAAAACATGATGCATTTTTATATCAGGTCAATTTTCAGGAAAACTAAATCTATAACGTTAAAAATGTATCACTGTACAAGCTTTTCACAATGAAAACAATATTGACAAATAGGATTCGGTTATTGATGGTGTACAAACTTCATCAAAGTGTGATTTGCTTACATCTCAGATTATTTTTTATTAAACGGAATTAATTCCAAAATTGATTCATTGATTTATTTATTTTTAGTTAACTCCACAAACGGAATTATATGATACATCCAAGTGTGGAAACTTAAGTAAAAGTGATTTGTTTTTTTTTTGGCAGCGTGATGTAATAAGTCTCACTTTATTAACTTTTTTATTTTTATTTCTTAATATCTCTTTTGTGCATATGTATATATATATATATATATAAATGGGACACTCTTAATATTTGAAGTGAAGTTTAAAATGGTAATCTATTAAAAATAGTTGGGTAAAAAACACATCTTTAAGTAAGAAATGTAAAGAAAAGGGAAACAAACCAACATTCAGTCAAATAGGCTTGAATTTAAATATGGGTTGCAACTTGAGTACTTAAAGAAAATAATGATAAAAAGCACTGCAAATGATCAATTACAAAAACATGGGTAATATGATTAAATTTCATGAGCAAAGAAATGATCTTTCTTTCACAAACTCATGTTGCAACTATAACATCGACCTAAATTAGCCTTTAAAAAAATTTGTAATTATAATTGTCATTATAATATAAGTATTATACATCAATAATTAAAATATATTTAAAATCAGCTTACATAGGAAACATAAGAAACCACAAATGCATGTGTTTAGTTGTTGGTTGCTCATTGATGCATATGATAATAATAAAACTTCAGGAATGTGTTCAATAATGTACTCCATTGTCTTGCTTGTTAACTTCACCACCTTTTGATATAGAACCCATGAGCTTGATTGTTCTCCATGCTTTAATAGATAAAAATAGTAAAATTAGCAACTTGAAATCACTACCATTTATGATTCTTTTTAAAGAAATACACTTATAATTATACACACCCTAATTACATATATACATACATACATACATACATACATATATATATATATATATATTTATATAAAGTTTTAATTAGATTGTAGAATTAAAAACAAATACAGGTGTATGATGTATTGCACATTTTCAGACAGTGAATATTAATGGACACAAACATGTTGTTTATATTTACATTTATATGTTCAGATATGTACATGCATACATTGATCTATACAATTTCTTCATTGAGAAATAAAAAGAAAAAAAGAAAACACATGTAAAGTTTTCATGAGTATTAAATAATAGTAAAAGGCACAACGAGAACACATCAATAAAAAGTATGGAATTCTTACACAAGTGTGTGTTTGTGGGTATCTATCTCTCTCTCTCTCTCTCTCTCTCTATATATATATATATATATATATCATGTTTTTGCGAATGTTACAGAAATTATTTAATGAGGTGAACACAGAAATGTTCCGTTAATTGCAACATCATTCTTTTTGATCCACAAAACCCACATAATAATTCTCCGAAGTTGCAACCAGAATTTGCTCGCCTTCTTGAATCTCCTCGGAATCCCGTATGCGAATACACAATGCTTTCAAGAAGGAGAGAATCGTGTGAGCCTCTAGCTTTGCATGCGTTCAATCTGCGACATGGTTTGGATCCCATCCCAAACTTCTTTGCGTCTCATTCCTCTCGCGGGTTTGATTTTTAAGAATGGAGCGACCAAGGTCGGCAGAGTAATCCATGAACGGCACTTGGCTTGTCCATTGAAAGCGTCATGGTCCCCAAGTGAGCCGGTCAAGTCTACCATTGCAAAGATGGGTGATCACTTTGTGCTTGCCTCTCGAGGTGGAGAGGACTCGTATCCTTGTGGGGGTCCTTTTTGTGCAGGTTCCTCCGAGATCAACCATGGCTGTCTCCCCGTGTTGGGCTTGGCGCAAACTCTGTGAGAGCTCACAAAGGGTGTTTTGCACCCCTCCACTGTGTACAGCTTGGTGTGAAGTGGGATCCGGAATGTTGTGGATCTTAAATCTGCCTTATAGCTCGTCGTTGTTTGCCAACATACTACAGGCTGCTGGGAGTCCTGATTGTTGAAAAGATCAACCCACTCCCCCTCACACAGCTCTTGGTTTAGATGTGGGATGAGATGATGTCGTTGATGAGCTATTACAATGATAAGAGCCTGCCACACTCCTTCCTCACGTGGTTGTAAATCAACACAATTTTTGATATCTATGAAGCTTATGAAGTTGTTTTTTTACCCATATGTCCCTCAATTTTTGTAGGCATTGTTTGTGGAGTTTTGCTGCCTTTTTCTTTGAGAATCCTAGTCCTATTTGATTGTTATTGGGATAGTGCCATAGGCTGCAATTAATCCATTCCTCATGACACGTTTATCTTCCTTGTAGAAGTCCTTCCAAGTTAATACAATTCTATTCCATATTTTTGAACCTTTTTTTTTTTACTTTGGTATGGTGAAGAATTCTAAACTTGGTTGCCAATTACCTCTTGTATGTGGTTGCTACTCCTTGAGATGGTGCTTTAGTAATATGTACAGATTTGATTCAATTGGTTCTATTTCATTAACAATCCATTCTTCTAAAAGGTCCACCATTGCATCCGAAGAGTTGATTAGATTATTTCCACCTTTGTTTAAAGGTTGATAATATTGAAGCCATGCTACTTTGGTGTGAGTTCCTTGCATTGTATAACCTACCAAGTAGTTACTTAAGGAAGCTTTAATCTTTCATATGCCTTTCTTGATTCCTCTCCAAATCAATATAAAGTAGAACATTGTAGATAATAGAATTGTATTGACAATTATTCCTCTATTCATAATATTAATTAATCATGAATTGTGATATTTTAATTTTTTTTGTTAATTTTTTATTGTAGAAAGAAGTCAAAGTTTAAGAAAGACAAAGAAGTATCAAATAGAGCTCCTAATAATTTACTTACTTCATTTTTTTTTTGCCCATATCATCACTAAATTATTTGTCTATAGAGGCCCATTTGGCATAGCATAATTCTTCCATTATTCACTTGATTTGTTCCAATTCAATACTAAGCTTGAGCCTAAATAAAAGGCTTCAAGTTTATGTATGACATGGCATATGTTATATTCTTTTCCAAACAAAGTTAAAGATATATCATTTGCATACCAAGCCATAATTTGTTGTTTAGAAACTAAAGGTAATTGAATTCTCTTTATAAATTCTAAGCTTGCTTCCTTCATGATCATTGTGTGGAGGACTTCTAATACTATTAAATATAGATAAGGAGCTAGTAGGCAATCTTTTCTTACTCTTTTCTCTATTGAAAAAGATTTTAAAAGGAACCTATGAATCTTCACACATGCTTCAGCAACTTGAAGAAGTAGCTTGACCATGTGATTAAACTCTCAAGGTAATTCCATAGCTTCTATTATAGAAAATAAAAATTTATTTTCTATTATATCATAAGTTTTTGAGAAATCTAGTTTTAAGAAAATGAATGGTTGTTTTTTCTTCTTTGTCCATGCCATAGTTTCATGTGTCAATAATATGATATCTAAAATAAACTGATTTAAAAAAAAAATTAATTGATCCAAGTTGATAATATTTATAAGTATAAATTGAAGCCTAGGTTGGAAGGCCTTTGCTCAGATCATATATCCTATATTAAGTAAAATGATTGGTCTCAAATTTGACAAATCATATCTTATTTTTCCTTTATAGATTAATACCATAAGTCCTTGAGTCATTTTTGGAGGAAGACAACCTTTGCATATACTATCTTGTAATATGGCTAAATAATCTAGCTTCATAATATTCCAAAAGATTAAATAAATTCTAAAATAATTTTGTTTAGGCTAGAAGATTTATCTTTATCTATTTCTTGTAGTGCTTTCGAGAGTTCAGCTAGAATAAGAGGTTTCTTTAAATTTTGTTTCTCTTCTAAGTTTAGCTTGTCAATGACCTCCTAATTAACTTGGTTCATTGCTTCTTGCAAGGCCGTTGTAAAAATATAGGCTTGATATAATCTGTTATAAATTTTGGGTGGCATCTCTAAGAGAGGCTTATACATCAACTATTGTTGTAAAGATCTTTCTTTATAGAAGTTCCTCCTCATAATTACAAACTATAGCTCGGTTTATATAAAATGTTCTATAACAACAAATACAATTCCATAAATTTACATAAAACAATTGTATTGGATGAAATTGCCATATCCTCCTAATTTAAGACTAGACTTCAATCTCTTCAAGAAAATGAGTGTTCATCATGTATGGAGATCTTCTCTTTGCCTTCGATTATGAAAAATTCTATTGCCAAATTGCAATGTGATCAGAATCTATGCTATCTCCAAATATAATATATTCTAAATTAGTAATAATATTTTTAAGTGAGCTAGAGATATATGTATGGTCTAATCTTGCCAATATGGAAGAGCCATCTTATTGCTTACTATCCCAAATAAACCTTAACATATGAGATGCAAGGAACATGTCTTTAACTTATGACAACATTATGAAGGCCTTGAACAATTGTTGTTCTAACCTCAATATCATTGCTTTTTGAATGTTTGACTCATCAATTCTTCACTATATTCTAACTTCTTGTCAATACCTATTTAAAAT